TTCTTGTTTTTTAGGAGTTTGAGATGTATCATTGTCATTGATTGGGATCTTTCAATCTTTTTAATTATGCACTCATGGCTATAAACTTTCCTCTCAGACTGCTTAGCTGTGTCCCATAGGTTCCGGTAGTTGTGTTTCATTTTCATTGACTTCCAGAACTTTTTAATTTCCTCTTTTATTTCATTGATATCATTCTTCATTAGTAATGATTATTTAGTTTCCAGCTGTTGCATGTTTTTGTCTTACTTTGTTGTTGAGTCTACTTTACTGCATTGTGGCAGATAGTAGTGCACGGTATATTTCTATTTTCTTATATTTGCTGAGACTGCTTTGTGCCCTAGGATATATCTATTTTGGAGAAGGTTCCATGGGCTGCTGAGAAGAATGTATATTGTGTAGAGGTTGGATGAAAAGTTCTGTAGACCTCTACTAGGTCCATTTGATCTACTGCATATTTTAGATCTTGGATTTCTTTATTGATTTTTTGTTTGGATGACCTATCTATTGATGATATGGGGTGTGTTAAGTCTCCCACACCACTGTGTTGGCATTTATATATGCTTTAGGTCTTTCAGGGTATGTTTGATGAAATTGGGTGCGTTGACATGGGTGCATACAGATTGATGATTATTATTTCTTTTGGTCTATTTCCCTTTTATTAGTAATGGAATGTCCTTCTTTTATCTCGTTTGATCAATGTAGGTATGAAGTCTACTTTGTCAGAGATAAGTATTTGCTACTCCGCCTGTTTTCGGGGGCCATTGGCTTGGTAATCTTCTTCAGCCTTTCATCCTAAGCATATGCTTATTTCTGTCGGTGAGATGAGTCTCTGTAAGCAACAAATTGTGGATCTCTTTTTTAATCCATTTTATCAAATGGTGTTTTTGATGGGTGAATTAAGTCCATTAACATTAAGCTTAGTACTGATAGGTATGTGGTGATTCTGCCATTTAGTTGTCTTAGTTGTTTGAGGTTTGATTGTGTGTACCTAAGTTGATGTTACTCTCTACTGTCTTGCTTTTCTTTTCCTGTGGTTTGGTGCTGCCTGCTTTTCATGGTTAAGTTGGGTTACTTTCTGTGTGCAGAAATCCCTTGCAGAATCTTTTGTAATGGTGGCTTTGTGGTCACATATTGTTTTAGTTTCTGCTTACATGGAAGACTTTTATTGCTCCATCTATTTTGAATGATAGCTTGCTGGGTAGAGTATCCTGGGGATTGAAGTATTTTCATTCAGTGCCTGGAAGATCTCACCCACACCTTCTTGCTTTAATTTCTGTGAGAAGTCTCTGTGATTTTGATGGGTTTAACCTTTGTATGTTACTATGTTTTTTTCTCTCTTACAGAGCCTTCATACTTTCCTTAGTTTCTGAACTTGTTGTTTTAATGATGATGATTTCGGGAGTAGTTTTCTATTTTGATCTGGTCTGTTTGGTGTCCTGGAGCCTTCTTGCATGTGTATGGGAAATATCTTCTCATAGATTTGGGAAATTTTTCCGTTATTATTTTGTTGACATATATACGCATTCCTTGCTTGCACCTTTCTCCTTCTTCAAATCCCCGATTCTCAAGTTTGGTCTTTTTGATGAGTCAGTGAGGTTTCTGCATTTTCTTTTTCACAGTCTTGAGTTGTTTAATTAATAATGTTCTTTCGGTTTTTCCTTTAATACCCTTTCATCTTCAAGTTCTGAGAACACCTCTTCTCCTTCTTCAATGCCCATGATTCTCAAGTTTGGTCTTTTGATGGAGTCAGTGAGTTCTTGCATTGTTTAATTAATTAGTTTTCGTTTTTTCCTTTAATTCATTGTCTATCTTCAATGTATCTGGTAGTATTTCCTTTGTCTTTCTGTTTGTTCTATTCTGCTGGATTGGCTTCTGTTTTGTTTGGCAGTATTCTGTTTCTTCTTTTTTTCTGAGGTTTTCCATATCCCTGCAATTTTTCCTCTTTAATGTTGTCTATTTTGTCCTGAGTTCATTTATTGCCGTTTATTCATTGTGTTCTCTTTTCACTTTGGTGTTTATACAGTGCTTCTATGGTTTCTTTATTTCTTCTTTTGCTTTTTCAAATTCTATTTTGTTGTCTTGGAATTTTTGTAGTGTCTCCTACATTTGGGTGACCCTATCCAGTATCATCTCTATAAAAATTCTATGGTACTTGTAGTATGTCTCTTTTAAATTATTCTTGTGGGCTTCATTGGTCCTTTGGCATAGTTTATCTTCATTTTGTTGGAGTCTGGATCTGAGTTTTCTGTTCTCTTCATTCCCCTCTGGTTCCTGTACTAATTTTTTGCTGTGGGAAACTGGTTCCCTGTTTTTTTCTGTCTTCCCATCATTGTCTTTGGTGTTGTTACTGTCCCTGTACTGTGTGCAATTAAGTATTTTCTAGCTTGTAATAATAACAATGGTAATATTTAGAATGGAAGGGTGAGCTGAGATGGAAAGCAAGAAGTTAAAGAAAAGGGGAAAACAAATATACAGAGAAGAGGGAGAAAGCAGAACAAGGTATCAGACTAGAAAATTTCAAAGGTATAAACAGGGAGTGTTAGTGTACTAATTGACAGTAAGCTGAACAGACATTAGAGAGACAGACAGAGGATTGAAAATCAAAGATAAAAAAAAATAAGTAAATGAAAGAAATTTCTATATATAAAAATGAATTAAAATAAAATGGGAAATAGAAAGTTAAAAAAAAAAACTTCCAAGTTTATATGCAATGCAGTTTCAGTCTTAATAATATGGGTGTCCGTCTCAATCTCCAGTCCTGGAGTTGGTGCCTCAGATGTTGTTCTGTAGTTGTCTCATCAAAGGGGATGCATAAAGTAGAACAAAACTACACACTCACACACACACACACCAAAAAAAAAAGAAAAAAAAGCCCACCAAGTGTCCCAAGTTCAAATGCAATACAGTTTCAGTAAGTTTTTCAGCTTGCAGGTGTAATTCGATTGTTTTCTCATCAAAGGTAGGGAGAAAAAGAAAAAAAAGAGTCTGGAGACAGCTCTGAGAGTGGTATCTGCAACTGTGGCTTGCCTGCCTGCTGCTCTCAGCCTGCTGTAGCTGGCGGCGTTATTTATGCAGGTCTCTGAGGTGAACTTAGCACTCACCTGGTCCCACAGGCTTTGTTTGTTCAGAGTTCTCCTGTGCGGGAGCCTCTGCTACAGGCTTTCCCCTTTCCAAGCACTGGGAAAAGTGACACTGCACCCGCATTGTCAGGCCTGTGTGTTTATTTACAGTTCATGTGGGAGGTGGGTCTTCCCCCCTCTTCTGTGCAGTTTTCCTCCCACTGCCACTTTCACAATCTTTCCTGCTCCTGATTACTGGGCGGTGCTGCTGCTCCTGCCGGCTGCCATGTTTATTTACAGCTCACATGGGAAGTGGGTCTTCCCTCCTCTCCTGTGGAGTTTTTCTCCCTCCGCCACTCTCACAAGCTTCCCCGCTCCTGGTTGCTGTACGCACGCCCGCTCCCACCAGAGGCTCTCTGGCCTGCCTGGCTTGTTTATTTACAATCCCGGGGAGGGTTCCCTTCCCCCAATCTTCAGCGCTCAGAGCGCCCCACCCTCTTTCCAGTGTGTCTTAATTGTTCTTATTGCTTATTACTCAGTTTCTCTTTTTTTTTTCCCCGGGTGGAGGTCAGTCTGTCCAGGGGGCTATGCTGCTGTGCCCCAGGCTTGTCTGTGGGGGTACCGCAGTATGGCGAAGCTCACCTGGTCCATGTCTTCCCAAGCCATATGGGCGCCGGCCACTGGCGGCCCCAGGGGCCCTCCTCATTTCTCCGTTTAACGTGAAGTGGAGATTCTCTGCGCCGGCTGGAGGTGTGGAGGGGTCAAAGTTATGCCTTTTCTCGGTGATTATGCCTGCAAAGTGTCCCAAATTCTTAATAGCATCTGAACACTTGAAGTTGCTTTTCAAGTTATATAAAATCTATCTGATCATTTTAATATACATTTATTACATATTCTTTAAGTGGTTCATGCTGAAATTTTGAGCTGATACAGTTTAGTGTTTGTTGTAATGGAAGTAGAACTATCTGAGTGAGATTTTGTACAAAATCTATAAATATTTGTTGGATGAATGAATGAATATTTGGGGGTAAGTAAAGTCATTTCTTCTAAACTTTATTTGAACCAATGAAATCAATTGCCTACCATACATGTAATATTATATTCAAAATTTGTGAAAACAGGTTTAATTTTTATATCATTTTGTTTTTAATTAGTTCAATTTTTCTTGTGACACCTTGACTGTCTCCTAAATTTCCTATCTTATGGTCAATGATTTCAAGCACTCTGTATTAAAAGACACACAGGTGAGGAGAAAAAGGAGATTGAGCATATTTGCATAGGGCAGGAAGGGCACTATAACATCTGGCTGTGGCAGTTAACTGGACCCATTTGTTAGTGCTCATTAAATTCACATTAATGCATGAATTATTCTGAATGTGTAAGTGCCCTTTGGGGTGGATTGCTTTCTCCCAGACCAATGGCATTGACTTTGGAGGTCTATCCTTGGTTGTTTACTTGCCAATGGCATTTGACCTGGGGTCAGACCTGTATTTAACCCTTTCCTGTAGGTCAAAAACAAATTAATTTGGTGAGCATTAAATTGGAAATGAGTCATCTGCTCAGCAGGTGTCCCCCATATAGAAAGAGTCCCAGGTGGAAACATTTTAAGATCTGTTCCTGGGCCATCTCCAAAGAAGCTTCAGAGGTCAGGGAGGCAATTCCAAGACATCCCACGTGGTGAGGCCCGCCAAGGAATGTAGCAGGTGCCCACTTGGGGCGGTTTTCTCAGCAGCTTGGGGAGACTTTCAAAGAAGCCCATTGGGAAGATAAATTATTCATATATTCATAAGCATTTGTCTTGGGCATTCTTTGTGGACTGATTTACTTAGAAGTTGCCCTAAATGATTAGAACTTTACCCTTTACCCCTACCTCCCACCATCAACCAAAGACTTTGATTTGAAGAAGAAAAATGATGCATTTTTCTCTTTCATTTTTTGTAGAGGATGAGGAAGATGAGGAAATGGTGGAACCCAAAGTTGGCCATGATTCAGAACTGGAAAACCAAGACAAAAAGCAGGAGGTGAAGGAAGGTATGATGTAGGAGATACATGGAGTAATTATTTTATTGTTTTTCTTTTACCAACAAAAGGTCTGAGAAAGGTAAATAAAAATTAATTTCTTCTATATGTAGGTTTCTATATGTAGGGTTTTCTATGATTATTAGATACATTACATTTATCAAGACAAACTATAATTCCAGAGCAAGTCATTTTATTTCTTGACTGATAGAAGCAAATAAAATAGAACCCCCCTAAAATTCCAGTAAAACTGCTAAGTAGTGATAAAAATAGATACAATATCAACTCACATTATAGAATTCACTCCACCAAATATTCTTAATGATAACAATAAAGAAATATGGCAGATATAATTATCTTATTAGTAAATCCTGATGTTTTTCATATGTCCTACACAGAAACATTAACAGTGATCATTACTACTAACTATACTGTTAAAAGTTTTCTTCCAAAATTTGGCCTATATGAGGAGAAAAAACCTCTTACATATTCCAGTGATAATAGTAACTGACATTTACCAAGGGCTTACAATATATTTGGGTCTCTCCTATGCTTTCTACAAATATTATGTACTCCTCAAAACATCCATTTGAAGCATATACTATTATTCCTATTCTATAGATAGAAAACTTGGAAAAGAGAGTTTCAAAACCTTACTCAAGGATATATAATTTATAAGTGATGAGCCAACATTTATGGTTGACTCTGAAGCTAGTACATTCTACCAAATGCCAACTGCATGACATTTCCTTACACATCTAATTTTTTATTACATTGAGATAAAAAAAAATTTGAATTGTCATTCTTACTGACAAATAGAGAATGGTATCTGAGACCTGGGTATAGATTTAAAAGGTTGTTCTATATTTCCGATTGAGTTTCCTAAAAACAGATTAACATAACTTTAATTAGAAGCTCATTTGACTTATAAATTTAAAAGATTGCCATGACTCTGACACAGGGCATGGCAAATAGTTGTCACTAGGAACTTTTGTAGGCATATGCATATTTATCCTATATAGTTATTTCAATCCCTTTGTGCTCTTGTAAGAAAAAATTGTGTAGCTTAAATATCTATTACTGGTCATATCCACTTAGACATAGATTTTTTAATTGTTAAAAATTGCCTTGTGTTAAGAACCATTTGAAGTTGTGAATCATTTGAAGAGCATATATGTTTAGTTTGTTTTGGTTAGTTATAAGTAATCTATGTTATCTAAAAGCCAGGCCAAGGTAGGGATGAAAATACACAGGCTCTGGCGCCAGACTACCTAGACCCAAATCCTGGCTCTGCCATTTATGAACTGTGTGACCACTACCAACTTAGTTAGTCTACCTTTTCTTGGCCTCAGTTTCCCCATCTGGCAAGCAGAGATAATGTTGACCTAAAGATTTTTTTTTTCAAAACTCAGGGGGCTATTATGGAACAATGTGGTACAAAGTAATTACTGTATAAAAGTTTGCCAAATTATTGCGAGCAGTCTTGCCTTACAGTGCCTGGGTCTATAACTGGCCCTACCCCTGATCGATGCCTTTGTGTGCCCCAGTTCTATGAGTTCAGCATTGCCATACCTAAAGCTTTGATATGGCAGCCCAATTATTTGAACCCCAGTAAATCAAATACAAGAAAAGTCTTTGCAACTCTTTGGAGAGCTGTCATTAAGGCTCCTGCTCTTGTCAGTGTGCCTTGTCTCAGGCATTGAAGAGGTCAAGTTCTGGGGGATGACGGAGAGCAGAAAGAGGATTCAGCATCTTTGACAATGGCAGCCACAGAGAGTACCAGAGCCATTTTTTCTGAGAGAGTCTAAATGCATTTGATGAAAGACATTTCACAGTTAAACTTCTATTAAAAACATTTTTAAGTGAACGAATAGAGTATTATTATCACAAGTACAGCAAGAGACAAAATAAGTCAGTTATCTATTAAAATGCTTTCTTTTTCCTATTGCTTAGAACATACCGGCTGATAAGGAGCCAGGGTAGTTTTTATGGGTCTTTGCCTGAATTCCCATTACCACCCTCCAATCCTAATCTCCAAACCATCTTCCTTGGCAAAGCAAAGCAATCTCCTTCTTAAGTTCCAAGCCAAAAAAAAAAAAAATCCTTTATTTTTAACCTTTCCTCATACTTCATGGAATTGATTAAAGTCATGGTAAAAGTCAAAAAGAAGTTTGAAAGAACATTTCCTGTTACTGCTGCAGGGTGTGCCTTGTTCTCCATTAATGGCTTTTCTGCAAATTAGCACATAATGGGTTAAAAGCATGTTTATGTTGGCATCAAGCTGTCTGACTTTTTTTTTTAAGCAAGACAGTATTTTGCAAACTTTTAAAAGAATCTCTAGCAGATATAATCGTGGCGCCATTCACACGACTGCATAGTAGTTAGGGCTATGTCAGCACTTCCATTATGAACCCTGAGTTTCAGGATTTATTACTCAGCCATAAAAATTTGCTCTGGGCTGAAACTTGACATACAAGGTTTCAAACTATTGAACACATTTTTGAGAAATCTGGCTTCTTTTTTTTTCCCTTTTTTGGGGGAGGATGAAGAAAAAAATTAGTGAGGGACACATAGGGAAAAACGTCAGGGCTCCCTAGCTTTTGACATTTTTGCTTGTGTGACACCAAAGTGCATTAAACAGTAAAGAAATATAACTTTGGCTTATTATTATTTTCACTTTTTCTGCAATAGAGTAGGTACATTTTATTACTTTTTAATAAAAACTTAGGAATTTTCTATTTGTCAGTATCTTAGTTTCTTCGTGTTTAGAGACTCAGAACAGGATTGGAATCCTGACTCTTGTAGATACAAATTACCCAATAAATCTCACAATAACTTCAGAGACAAAGGTCTTTCTGCATTAGTTTCCTTGTTGTTCTTTATGGACTTTCCTGTAAAATTCCCATTAGAGCCACCATCCCTATTAATCTGGTGTTTTCCCTGTCCATGTGGCTTATTTATTTTAGTTATTTTTGCAAATTATCTTTATTTATGTATTTATTTTATTTGGGTTTTTTGAAACGGGATCTCACTATGGAGCCCAGGATAGCCTCAAAGTCATAATCTTCCTATCTCTGCCTCCCCCATACTGGGATTGCAGGCATGTATCACCATGTCAGTGCAAAATGTCTTTTCTTTTTTTTTTTTTTTGGCACTACTGGGGTTTGAACTAAGGATGTTGAGAAGTGCTCTACCATGCTTGAGTCATGCCTCCAGCCCATAAAATATTTTTTAAACATAATGTTTTGAGCCTGGATGTGTCATTCAAGTGGTACAGCACTTGCCTCTCAAGCTTGAGGTCCTAGATTTGATACCCAGTACTGCAAAATAGTTAAGAAATGTAATGTTTTTGTATTGAAATTTAATGCTACATCATTGAAACAAGGCAAGACATTTCTGAATAGAAACCAAAAGATATAGAGCATAGTAAATAGGGTGGTTTAAAGACAAACTGATTAATTACACATTCAGTCAATAAGAAAAGACAAGAAAACATAGCAACAAGATAGAATCAGCTTGAAAGATACATTAAAAATATTCTCATATGTAAAATTAGGAGAAATGGACATTCATACAATAAGTAGAATAAAAATAGACCCTACGTTAAATTTATGTTAAATTTTCATTTTGTAGGCCACAAGGTCATAGAATTAGTTTTCTAAATTTTTAATTTCATGAATGTGGTACATTTCTTTCATGCATGTTATTAGAGCTAAATATAACTGTTTGGGTAAATTTGAAAGCTAACTTGTCATTTGGAGTATATGTAAGTCATGTCCACGTGTTCCACTTATCATACAGAATCTTTTTTTTAAAGGGTGCTTCAAATGCATGAGGTATTGTTAACTGTCAGCCCCTGAAAGAATTATTCCCCATGTTGTGTTGAGAAACCAACCAAACAAAACTGTTATAACAACATTTTCTGCTTAATTTGTAAGAAAAATAAAATATCCCTTTCCACATTCTATTCTGGTTTGCTTTTTGAAGTTGTTAAAAAATAATTCATTAGGTTCAAGAGATAGGAAAAAGCCACAGAAACAGAAATTTTGGGGAGAATTTGGGGTCCATCCTAGAATAAAACAATTCCAATCCTATTTTTTGATCCTGTGTTTTAAACTTTGTGGATACCATTAATCAAGTGTTTTTAATGTCTGGAGAGGTTTTATTTCTGAATGCACCTTTTGGTTATGGTTCCTAGATGCTCCATTATGTTTTCATTACATTATAACAGCACTTAGCAATTTAAAGATTTTTAAGTAATATGAGATTGTTTTATCAAGATAACTATGACCCTATTTAATTTGTAAGTTGAATATTGTTTATCGCTTTTAGAAAGTACTCATTTGCACATGAATGTTATTATTTTATGCAAACAAATCATGTCATTTGATCCCTGTTAGACATCAAAGCCTAATGTAAAGTATGTCCTTTGTTTTGCTTCAGTAGCAATTTAATTTCAGGCTAAATATTGTATTGTCAAACATAATATCTGGAGAGACTACTGCTTCACCTACCTGAACTTGGCCTCTGCAAGTACACTTTGATCAGCCATTTATGTTTCTCTTGGAGAAAAGGTTGTGTGTCTTGAAAGCTGAGATCAAAGTGACAATAAGCTACAGGGAAGAAAAATTACAGAAAATTACAGAGATACAATTTTTTATTCACAGTAATGGGCCTGTAAGAAAAGATACAGGTGAAATAGAAACGGCTCAAAAAAATAAACAGAGTAGAGATTTTCATGTATCATAAAAATAAAGAGGAAAAGCTCCTACTCCCTTGCTTAATTTTAAGTGTCTCAAGTCACCTCTGATGGCGGCCAAGCCAAGGCCCAGTGAGTCTTCTTAAAGAAGACATTCTGCTTGGGCCATACTATCCTTCTTTAGTGATCTCTTTTTATTTGTGTAGCAGTATTAACCAAAACAAAATGGAGCTAGCATTGTGTAGACTTTTTCCTTCTGCCTACTTATATTTAGTAGTTTTTCTATATTTTTGAGTGAGATAATTTGTATGTTTCAAAGGAGTTCTTGAAAATAGACTAATAAATTTCTACTTAATTGCTAATTATTGAAAGATGAACTATTTTCTCAGTATATTTATCTTTAACCCATAAACCACATTTGAAGTTTAGGTACCAGTATCCCCATTTTGTAGATAAAAGTGCTGCTCAAAGAGTGTCCAATAATTGGTAAAAGAAGCAAAGCTAATAAATGGCAATGTCAAGGTCTGATTCTAGGTTGGTTTTTTGGAGTTCTTCATGTTAAGTGTGACCTCCACCTGTTCTCCCAATACCTAGCCAAAAGATGAGTGCCCATCACCGCTTTACCATTTCTCACATTGGTGTCTGGACAGCACCGCACACAGTAGAAGTAGGTGAAGTTTTTGGAGAATCCTAATGAACACTGGGAATTTTAGTGTTCTGGAGCCTTAGCCAGCATGTAAATATTTCTAACTCTGTTTCAGACTACTAGACACAGGGGGGTGGCTGTGTTCAGAGGTCGTCTGCTGTAGTTGATGTATTATGTTTTGCCACAATATTACCTGGATAGCATTTCTTAACATGTGAACCAACTACCTTAAAATCATTTCAATTCCTTGAACAAGCACAGTTCCTCAACTCCTTCCAGACCCCCGGTATCATGGTTTTAGGAAGGAAAGGAGAACCAAAAGAGGAGAGATGACGTTATAAACATTAAAAGTTTGAGATCCCTTGCCATGACTCTGCAGAAGGGCTTCTTTACAGTTCTGACTTAAATGGTGGCTTTGACATACCATTAATAGAATCAAATAATACTCTATAAAATATTGTGCTGCATATAACTACAACTAAAAGATTCTCAGATCACATAGCCAGGTCAAAACTGGTCCTGTTTATAAGAATGGTTGTGGAAGTGCTTGGGAAACTCTGAGTGAGTGATTCTACCAGGGACCCCAACAGTGATTTTAATGCATGATCCTCCTCCTGTTGGTTAAACTGCAGGAACTTCTATACTAGTCAAAGAGTAATTGATCAGTGGGAGAGTTGGGGGTGAGGGTGCACTGTAGCTCAAGCCTAAACCCTAGCTACTCAGAGACAAAACAGGGAGGATTAAGGTTGGAGGCCAGCCCAGGCAAAAACATTCACGAGACACCATCGCAACAGAAAAAAAGTTGGATGTGGTGGTGTGCACCTATCATCCTGCTACCATGTGAAGCATAAAATAAGAAGATTGTGGTTCAGGCCAGCCTCAGCAAAAAGCAGGACTCGATCTCCAAAATAACTACCAAAAAAGGACTGGAGGCGTGGCTCAAATGGTAGAGTGCCTGCCTACAAGGTGAAACCCTGAGTTCAAGCCCCAGTACCACCAAAAAAGAAAAAAGATTAATCTTGCTTAAAAAAATAAGGCATAAAAACAATTGTGGGATGGTTTATAGAAGCATTTATTAGTTCCATGTGTTTGTTTAAAGACAGAAGATACTTGGGCAAGAGCAGGTGTGGAAGGACAAGTTTCAGCTTTTGAATAGAACCTTATAAACAATGTCAGCCCTCCCATCTAGCTATCCAAAATAAAATGAATTTACCCAATAGAAAGTGGGAAGGTACTGTCTGAGTCATAATACACACAGTTTTATAAATTCACCTATTGTGCCCTATTTGAGCTGTTTTTCAAGTTCCTTTCTAAGGAAAATAACATTTAGAACTGATTGCTAAGAACATACCAGTCTACTTTGATTTGTAATCATTTTTACTTCTTCAAAATAGAAATTAAGCCAGATATAAATCCTTTTATGAAATATCTGCAAAAGCTTTTTGTGTGAATTTTGAATAATTTAGACTCCATATTAGCAATGCTTTACTTCATTGTGTCTTCTCACTCTCTCGATAAGCACTCTTTCAAGAGTTGGAGTTCTCTGGAAAAATTTTTCATTGTTCCTTCTTTCTTTCCTAACAATCTCTTTTACATAAAAAGCTCCTCCAAGAGAGCTGACAGAAGAAGAAAAACAACAGATCCTTCATTCAGAGGAATTCCTCATCTTTTTTGACCGAACAATACGGGTAATTGAAAGAGCACTGGCTGAAGACTCCGACATCTTTTTTGACTACAGTGGCCGAGAGTTAGAGGAAAAAGATGGGTTAGTCTTTTGTGTGCACTTAAAAATACATAGTATGACAAGTTATCAGTTGTGTTATTTTGTGGGTCTCTCTATGTTGTCCAGCTGGTCTGAACTCCTGGCTCAAGAGATCCTCCAGCCTTAGCCTGCTTAGTCACAGGTGTGTGTCACCCTGATGGCCTCATCTGTTGATTCTAAATATGTTTATATATTGAATAGGCAAACCCCAAATGTGAAAAATCAGAGGAGAATGAAATTCTGGGCTTACTCTTGTCAAACAGCTTTGACTTTGGGCTTTGGTTATAAATTCTGGCTTAAAATTTCCCTGTAACTATGCCTTCATGAAATGCTTTTGAGCTTGATATCTGGAATATACTCCAGGTGATAGAAAATGACAAAGTCACATATATTGTCCTTTTTAATTTTTTTATGTTTTTCCATTATTGTTGTGCTGGGTGGGGATACATTGTGACACTTACAAAGGTTCTTACAAACATACATTATCCTTTGAGAAAACATCCTTATAAGCAGCAAAAGGAGATTTGTATTATATCCACAAGACCTATTCTTAATGTCTAAGCAAACAGGAAGCTGGAGAAAATAAACATGAGATATAAGATAACCGATGTGAGACAGAACAGAGACCAGAAAATCTTTCCTATTATTGGTCTTGTAAGATTATGAATGCATGTGCATATTTCAGGAAAAACATAGGATTGGGGGATATTTAGAGATAAAACAAATCAATAAACAAGCAAAACAACAAGGCAATTGCCACAAGGGCCCCTGAATCATTTTCTCTCAGACTGCAGCATATGCGTTGGAAATGGTTATGGCTGTTAACCATCTTCATGGAATAACAAGAGGCCCTTTTAAGCCTCTTGTTTTTAACTACAGATATCTTTTGTCCAAGAACAATATATGAAAGTGGATCACTTTCCTTTTTTTTAATCAGACCTAGGTTTTTATTATTTCTAAAATTAAAAGTTATTCTTACAGGACAATGAGATGTCATTGTTGAGGATGTTCAAAGGAACAGAGGCTCTGAAAACAAGGAGACTGTTCTTGACAGTTGGAAGCAGCTTTAGACTACTTTGAAGATTCAACATTATTTTGAATATATGTGTTCTGCAATGTTGTTTTGTTTTTAAAAGTTGTTACTTATGGCTCAGTTGATTTTGTTGGTACAATTTTCTTTTAAGTGTCTGACCAAGCATTATATTAGGCTCCTATAAGGATCTGAGTTTATGTATCTCTTGGTAGAGCTGATAAAGGATTAGAAGGAGGAAAAAAAGTCATAATAGGTCAACTCATTAGAGCCCAAATAAGCAATCTGAAGCTAGGTCACACAGTCTGATCAAGAGCTATTCAGGATAAGTAAGGTAGGGTGCAACACAATGGGGAATAAAATAAATGAACAGGGGAAAGTGAATGAAGAGAACTTCTTGAACTGAAACTCAAGTAATTTAGGCAGGTTTTGGTTTTTTTTTCAGATACAAGAACTGCTGGCACAGAACAAGCATTACTCAATTTAAGCACTTAGTCCCTTGGAACGACTGCATGACCAGTGCAGAATTCTTTGAAGGCAGTATTGAGCCAGTTGAATATTAGCCAAGTAAACACTAGCCAAAGTGTAATCTTCCTAGATCTAAATCTATTTTGGCCAATGGTAGGAGTAGCAAGTACCCAGAACATATCTGATGAATCCCTTGCTCTCTACCATGCCTGTCTTCTGGTGGAAATCATCACTAACTATTGAGCAAGGTGTCAATCACTGGAACCTACTATAATTATAGGTAGATAGAAACATGCATATCACTTCCAATGACACAAAAGGTAGTACTGATGTCAAAGAATTCCCTTTTTCCCTATGCCCTTTTGATAGCAGGGAAATTTCTAATAAACCCTGCTTGAAGCCATAACCAATTAGGGGAGGAGAATGCCTCAGGACTGGCCAAGATGGGAGCCTGAAACAAACTCGACATTTCGTATCAGGCTTAGAACAATATGTGGAAAACTTTTCTGGGCCAGCAGAAGGAACTTTTCATAAAGGAGACCATCTTTAGTTCATTTATTTATGACCAGAGTTTGTAGTCTAGATTGACATTTTGGCTTCAGAAAGTGTTATGTGCTATGCTTTTGCTATTTCATTGTTCCATTGTGAGCTATAGAGACAAATCTCCATTCTGAAGCATCCTGTTTATGTCTGTTGTTCAAACTCTCCTAGGGATGTTCAGGCTGGAGCCAATCTTTCTTTCAATCGTCAGTTCTACGATGAGCATTGGTCCAAGCATCGAGTGGTCACTTGTATGGACTGGTCTCTCCAGGTAAGAATTACTGCTATCATGGGACAAATTGGGCTTGTATAAAAAAGAAGAGATGTTTTTTCCTTCATTTCACTTAATTTTACTAACTTACAATTTTTTTCTTTATGCTGTTGGTTTTCTTTCTCATTTTGCTAAGGTTTCAGTTTTAATTCTCTACTCGGTTATTTGTATTTATTGAGTAACTTCTATGTACTAGGTACCAAACAAGAAACCACATCATTCTGTCTATGAAACTTCTCTAGTTAAAGTCACCATTGATTTCCTGCTTTTCAAATCCTGTGGGTATTTTTTAAGCCTTCAACTACTCTGACCTTTTTGTCAATCAGCTTAGTTGACATTGCTATACTTTTAGAAACAGCCTCCTCCCATTGAATTCTCTTTGTTCAACTCTATTATCTTCTGTTTCTCTGACTTTTCAAGACTTCCTTGGTCATGCTCTCAACCTCAACCTTTTATCTTAACATGCTGTCTAGGGACAATTACATCCATGGCCATGGAGTCAACTACAGCATGGACAGCCTGCTGTCCAATCTTCTTTCTGAACTCCACTTTGTATATCAGACAGATCCATACAGGGTCCCATAGAATTTCAGACTAATCATTAACTCATTATTCCATATGTCCCAAATCCTTTACCCCCACCACGTTATCTATGTTAATATACCCAAGTATATAGTAGAACTTTCACCATCAACATTGCCAACTTCCTCCCTCTCATCTTTCAGACCAAGTCTGTCATCAAAACAGTCCATTTTAAGCAAAGCAAAAAGGGCTGGAGGCATGGCTCAAGTGGTTAGACCACCTGCCTAGCAAGCATAAAGCCATGAGTTCAAACCCTAGTACCAGCAAAAAGAAGTGTACAAAGCAAACCGGTTACATAAATATATAGTAAAATATTTTAAAAGCATGTAAAATATTTTTAAAAGCCTTCCACAAGAGACAATAGGATTATATAGCCCAAAATCATACCAAGGTTGAAAAACATATTCTAAAATTTTCTTTTCTGATGGTAACCATCATAGACTAGACAGCTTCCAGAGAGGATCCTTACCTGTTTGCATAAGGCTAACGTGATTTGTTAGAGTACAATATTTATTGTTTATATTTTGTGCTGTGGTTGCTGAAGGGATAGAATAAGAGAGGTTGGTGGTTATGAAGTAAAGAACCCTTAGGAATAACTGCTAAAAAAAAAAGTCCATTTTCCACTTCTTCATCATCTTTTTACCCCTGTACTGTTTTAAACCTTCTAACTTTCTGTCCTATCTCTATGTGTGTCCACTTAGAGTTTTCCCTCAGGACATCTAATCAATCTCATCACTTCATTCCTTGGACTAAAACTTCCCCTGCCTATAGGACAAAAGTCTAAATTACTGCTGTGGCATTTGAGGTAAAAGCAAGCAAATGTACCAAAATTCACTTGATGAATATAAAACTTGGCCATGTACTACGCCCAGCAGTGAGCATTTAAGCAATGTGCACGAAAGCAGGTAACTCAGTTGTATTGAGGTCAGAATTTTAATAAAGCTGCTCTGATCCCTGCACCCATTCTCATTTTGTTTTAATTTGTGTGTCTTACATGCTAAACACTACAACTGCTCTAAAGGCTTTCTTATTTCACCCTCATAACAATCATATGAAACAACCACTATTAATATTTTTGTGTTATTGTTGAAGAAACTGAGGTTCAATAGAAGCAAAGTAACTTGCTAACAGCTACTATGCTATGATGTGGCATTGTTGAACCCATGCCTGTCAGCATTCAAGGCATGTGTTTTAACCACTGCCTCCCACAAAGGGCTTCTTTTATGTCTGAAACCAGTAGAGTTTGAAGATGCTAGACAAAATGGGACATATAGCACATGCTCTCAGAGCTCAGTCAGGATTTCTCTTCAGTCAGACAAGACTTCTCAGAAGGCTGGGATTTAGGAAAATGGAGGCAAGAAGAGAGTTTCTAGGCAGGGCAGTAAAGGAGATAAGAAGAGTCCCATTCAATCCTGCAGGAGAATTGAAGGAATATAATTCTCCACACTGGACCATCATCAGCCAACAAGTGTTTGGGGGTTTTCTCCTCTTGATTCCCCTTTTACATCCAAACAGCAAAGCACACAGAGCATGATCGTGCAAAGAATAAGAAACAGGGTTTTCCTAGTCTCTTTCTGCCAGTATGTGGGTGGTCTATAAGCATGCTTGGGTGTACACAGAGAAATCAGATCCAAGCCTGGGGAAACACTTAGTTCAGCATGTTCACTTGTTCAGGGCCTGGAAATTACACCGGAACTTTATCTGACACATCCTTCAACAAAGGCAACTGCTAGCATGTTCCTGGTTCCTCTGAGAGCACTCCCTGAGGAGGCTGCTGGACCAGCAGCAGTGGGTCTGGTCCTGCCTCAGTTCAGTGTGTGTGAATGTGATTTAGCTCTTATTGACCCTGGATTTATTTTACACAGGGTCCTGTGTGATGTTTGTGCTGCAGGAAGTGGAACTGAAAAGGGCAAAAACTCTACCATGGAGAGATTAAATTTATTTTGCCTCATTTTGTGTGTAACCTGTCCATCTTCACTGTGGGAAGGAGGTTTGCAATTCTGCAAAATGCATTTTATAGGGAGTATTAAAAAATTGGAAATCCTGGCTCCTGTGTCACAATGCTTTTGTCAAGGTCACATGCTTGTGGGATAAAGAGGCTTTCTGAATTAACCCAGATGCAACCCAGTGATATTAAAAAAAGAAGAGCAGGATGAGGGCTGTATGGAGTGTAACCACCATAGCAGCTGTGCCTAGGAGGATTTCCTGAGTGGAACAGAATGGAACTGAGGAAGGAAAAAAAAAGGAACATAAGGTTTCTTCATGGCTTTACTTTGATCTCCTGGGCTTCTTAAACAACAAGACTCTACCTTTGCAATATTTGAAAAATACCATTCAGACATTATCCCCTGGAAGAAATTCAGGAATTGGGGAATTATGTCAACTCTATAATTTCATTGAAAAGTGTTTGGTGCAGTGGGTTAATAATACCACATGACAGATCTTCCAGATGTGCACAATATCATTCTTGTGATCTTGCTGCCACGATATATAGTCCTCCTACATGTAAATTGTATCTTCCAACCCCATAGTCCTCTAAAGCTCATACCTGAGTAATCTTCCATAGCTCACTTAGTTGCTAAATCCAGTCAAATTTACAGAAGCAAAATGATTCCCACTGGCATTAATTCAAATCCATTAATACATGGATTTGACAAGTACTTTCTGTTATGCTCTCCACTTGCTTATATTAGAATACAGCTTCCTTTATGGTCTCCCTACTTCTAGTATCTGCACACTAGAGTCATTATAAGTACTTTATCAGATTAATCTTTGCAAAAATTACTTATATGTTTTCTATATCTTCTTGTGCAAGTTGCCTAACTTCTCTTACTTAAACATCCATGAGATGCCGATAATGATAATGCTAAATCATTTGTTTATTGTAATATTAAATGAGTTAATGTCTAAAGGAATGAGGCTTTTTAAAGTGCCTGGTATATAAGACACACTCAATAAATGTGACATAGTAGTGAGGGTCATAGTAGCAGTGGTGTTAGTTGTAGAAAGTGACTCCTACTCCCCACTCCCCAAAATGAAATCAAATATCACTCACCCATTCTATATTTCTAGCCCTTGTACATTTCTAGCCTTTTCTTCTTTCCCTCCTCTTCACAAAACCAATGTCTTCTCAACACTTTCTTCTCCAGTTTATTGGTAAAAACGAAACAAGAACAAAAACTACCTCTGCAACTCAGGAATAGTAAAATACCTGGCAGCTTGAGAGACCTCATCAATAGGATGCTGTCATTAACCTGAATCATTTGCCAGCCTATGGGTTTTGTGTCTCAGTTCAAAACTTACATGTAGGTTAGAGAATGTGGTTAAGTTGGCTTGATCAATTATCAACCCTGCAATTAATTAATGATCACTGGGAAATTAGACACCTATGATTTGGGTAATTCCCAAGAGGGTAATCATGTGAGCCAGGCAGATTCTCCAAGAAGAATCTCCTGAGCCTTCCTCCCACTTTTCTCCTAGTAACTCATCCAGTCAGCAAAGTTCAACTGAAGATTCATTTCTTCTCAGAAGTTCCTTCCAGCTCTCTTCCTGCCACATCACACCCCAACTAGAGTGGTTATTACCCACCCAACCCTACTCCTGTGCTTCTGTACCTCCCTTTTAGCACATGTAGCTCTGCTGTGGTGTTTCACTTATCATTATTTCTACCTGAGGTGGAGCTCCTGTAGAACACAGCATGTTATTGTGGACGTTCTTGTCCCCGTTTTCTCTGGCATGTGTGGGCAGCACTTACACATGCCACAGTGGTCAGGAAGGGATGTAGCCTCGGGCTGCCAACAGACTTCAAGAGTGATTCTCACTTCATCACTTATTAGCAATATGACTTGGGAGAAATTACTTATTCAGCAACCCACTTTAGAACATTTTAAGGAGCAAATGAGTTAACATACTGCCCAACCCAGTGTCTGGCATATGATGGGCACTTACAATATGTTGGTTCCTTCTTTTCAGGAAATGTTAGATTTCATTCCTACTTCAGAACAAATGGCTGGAGAGCACAGCTGGTACTTCCTGGGCGAAATTCTCCTCTAAGTTAAATATTGACTAGTCTGGCATTATTAAATGACCATAAATTTTATAACTGGTCAAAATCATAATTTTAAACATTTAAATTTAATAATTGCCCAAAGACTTTTTATTGGAACATAAAGAAAGAAAAAGAAAATATTGCTAGTAATGCTCAGTGGAAAAGAAGTTACTAGAGGACCTTTGAAATCATAAAAGTTTGCACACAACAAGGTTTAAATCACTTACTCTAGGCCTTTTAATCCCAGTTGTAGAAATTATGCCAAAGGCACTTCTTTAGTATTTTACTAAAGCACTGCCTGTTTGCTAAAGGAGTTTGAAAGCCAAATAAGTTAAAATATTCTTAAATGGAAAAAAGAAAAGCTGCAAGTGGGTGCCAACGATGAGACCCAGATGTGAAGCTGTGGCATATGATTCCAGACACATCCTGCTGCTCCCTGGGCCCTCTGGTAGTGGTATTGGTGTTTATAGAGTTGACTTTTCACATGCGATATAGTTAAACTTCAGATGGACAGTCTGGAGACTTCTGTGTTTATCTGAATGTCATTTTCATTGAATGGACTTTGAGTCAAAAGCTTTGCTTAATAGGCTTTGATTCATCTGCTGAAGAGCGTGTTCTAATGAAGAAGGATTACTTCCTTTGGTGGCCACATATATGTGCATTATTATATGCTTATACCTTCTCTGTAGCACCTATCGAGTTATAATTCTCTACTTCTATAAAACCACATAGAAGATTTAGATTTAGTTATGTTCCATAGAGAGAAAATCCTCAATGTTCAAATTTATATAAGTAATCTTCAGTTTAAATATATACACAGCACAGTGAGAAGGAAAAATAAAATTATCTATGAGAAAAGAGTGGTATGATCTGTAATAATACTGGTAACAAGCATAATGGGGCTGCCTCATGAGAATCCCAGGTAGGAGTGGTATTTTCACAAACTAAAATATTATAAATATTTACTGTGAGACTTATCCTCAGTTTATTCATAGTAATATGAATATATAATATTAATATAATATTAATATTAATATTATAAATATTTCCTGTGAGACTTATCCTCAGTTTATTCATAGTATATATACTGTGTGTATATAGTGTGTGTGTATACATATATATATATATATATATATATATATATATATATATAGTGAGTAGGTGTTTTCAACACCAACATCACTGTAGAGCCTGCCTTGTTATTTTATAGGTTATGTTTCTTTCACTTAAGCCTTTAGTTATTGGTATTATTTGACAACAAAGGACTCTACTGATCACAGAATTAAATTAAAAATGATTCATCAGATTTTGGCCTTATCAGATGAGAGGATTTGTTACACCATGGATTCAGAGACCAATAAAAACCAGTCCTTACACTCAAAGAGCTTACAATCTAGTGAAAGATATAGGTGGGGAAAACAATACAATTGTCAAAGACATATAGTACTTCCTTGCTAAGAGGTAAGAAAGTGGATAGTGATTAGTTAGGATGGTCTGGATGGCCTATTGTCTACATTGAGTCTTGTAGAATGAGTTTGTGATGTAAATAACACAGAAGAGGTCTTCCAATGAGAGTGAGGTCAGAATATTGGTAGAGGCTGTATCTATGTTCGAGGGTGGGGAGGGAAGGTTGTAAGAGATTGAGCAGGGGAGGTAGAAAAGATAGATCATGAAGGGTTCTACATGATTTCAATTTTCCTTGAAAGTAATGATGAACCACTAAAGTATTTTAAGGTAAGGGTAACTTAGCCAAATACATATTTTGTAAAGTCATCCTAACAAAGGATAGAATGTGAAGTAGGTGAAGGTAGGACCTGGCAAGCCCAAACATGGGAAGCCATTTGGGAAGCTAATGCCTTTGCCAAACAAGAAGTTACTTAGGAAGCTTTGACCTTAAGAATGGAAAGAAAACATGAATTTGGAAGGTGTGGAGGAAGTACTGACACAGTATGTGGGGATGAGAGAGAGGAGGAGTGAAAATCAAAATAGAACATCTGACCTGATCAGCCAGACGAACGTTACTACAACTCACTAACAGTGAATGTTAGAAGAGCAATAGGTTTTGTGTGGAAGTTAATGGGCTTATTTTTCTGTGTTGCAGCTGATGTGTTTCTGGACACATTGCCTACTAAGGATTCTGAATAATCCTTAGTAGGCAATCAGATGTTAGGATCTCAAGCTTGGAGAGATATCAAGCCTAAGGAGAGATTTGAATATTAACAGTGTAGTAAGTTTTTAAAGGACATTGGAGTAGATAAGGTCATCAGGAGAGAATATGTTGAAAGAAGAAAAAAAAAAATAGGGCAGAAAATAGCCTCACCTCCTTGGAATTTATGTAGCAAAAGGAAAACCTGTGAGGACTTTAAAAAATGGTCAAAGAAGAAAACTAAGAAAGTTCTAATGGAAGCCAATATAGGAAAAAAAAGGGGAGTATTCTCATATGTCAGATATGACAGAGAAATCAAGTAGTATTTGCCCCCTATTTGCAGTTTAATAGTTATTGGTGACCATGCAAACCCATGGAGTATTGGGGACAGAAAACAGATTGCCATATGTTGGGACAATAGGTTGATATTAAAATTGCCACAGTATTTTTTTAAAAGCACTATACAAAGTATGTAATACAACATGTATATGCAGGAATGAGAACGTTTTGCTTCCATTGTCTTCTTGGCATAATGCATCTTTGTGACTTCTTCCATTTAGTACCCAGAGCTGATGGTTGCTTCTTACAACAACAATGAAGATGCTCCCCATGAACCAGATGGAGTGGCCCTAGTTTGGAACATGAAGTTTAAGAAAACCACACCAGAATACGTCTTCCACTGTCAGGTAGGAGTCAACATAGTAAAAATAGCTTGCATCTCCTACTAGACTAAATATAGTTCATGCTGCATTGCATCTGTCCTAGGTTGGGAGGAAGAAGTGAGTTTAAAAATGGAATTGTTGACAATTTTGGAAAATTCCCCCACAGTAACCTAATGTTTTGGGAAAGTGGCAACCCTCCCCAAACAGTTAGGAAGGCTGGTTGGGGACTGTGTGTCATTTTCTTTCTATTTAAAACAGCCCCCATGAGGATGAGTTTAGAAAGACCTCTCACTTATGAAGAAATTGTGGTGTACCACTTCCTCTGCTTAGCAACAACATATGCTTGCCCACCCACGTGGACATCCTCAGAGTACTACCATTTCAAGTTCCCTTCGCTCTCTGAAGTATAGTTCAATGGATTTTGCCAATTCTAAGTTTATAGGCACCATATTGGTTTACAGATAATACTACTTCTGGACTTGGGTTATGGGGAAGATTTACCATCAATATTTCTTGAATTACTGAAAATTTTAGATGCTGTTCCTAGTTTACAAGTACAGATAATATCAAATAGTTTGGGATGTTTTACTCCTGTATCTACTAACATGTGTCTTCTCTTCTGTTTGACAAACTACAGGCTGAAATTATGCTACACTTGCACACACTCAGTTTTGCTCTGTTTCCATAACTCTGCCTAAATAACAGGTTTTAGCATTGACCAATGCATCAACCTCTTTCTTAATGCTCCTATCCTGTGATTATGCACAGGAAAATGGAAAGCAAACATTCCAGCTCAAAGTTTCAGTTCCTCAAATATTACAAATCAGAGGACTGAGAAGCAGATCATTCTGAATACAAATGCTTTTGAGGAGGGTAGATAAACCTGTTGATTTGGGAGTGCTTTGTGCCATTTTATATCTAAGAGCTAAGTATCTTTTTGAACTAAAATATGTTTAGACTTTAGAACATTATCAGATACAATTTGAGGAATAGGAGCTGCTGGAAGAAAAGTCCCAGCTTCAATGTGATTGAGTAGCCTCTAACTCTGGCCATGTTTTTCTAATTTGCTATCTCAAAAACAACTTAACAAGAAGTTGAGGTCTGCGTAGTAAATATCCTTTATTTTCTGAACCTTTGAAATAAGAACAGCTTTTTCTTTTCTTTTTTTTTTAAAGATTATCAAGTTTGTCAGTCTGATATGCTCTTTCTGTAAACATAGAAGCACAAAATCCTAATTTTGTTCAGTTTTAAGAGGTTTGCTGAATTGCCAGGAAAATACTATAAGGATTATGGGTTAAGGAGAAGCACATTTGGTACCTTTTAAACTATTTTGATATTACAGAAAGCATATCTTTAATTGAAAAAAATCTAAGAAGTACTACATATTGTTTGAGTCAATGTATATGATGTTTATCATAATTTAAAATTGTATTAACTGACTACTAGGAGCCTATGGCAATATATATCATGCATTTAATATTCATAGCACTACATTGTAAACAAGCCAATAGGAGCATGATAATGTTGAGTGAGAAAAAGTTACAAAGGTCTTTGGAATTGACTAGAATTGTTTAATAACTAATTTTATCATGTGATAATAAATAATGCCAGTATTGATTAAAGAGGGCATCCTTTCTTCCTTCTCCTGGTAGTTTTGGGATCATTTCACCAACAAGAATTAAATTTTATTTTTAGTTTCTCACTTAAATGAGTATATATACATATATATATGTAGTATACGGACATACATATACTATGTGTACAGATGTGTGAATATATATATATAATATATATATACTAGAAAAGAAAATACACTCCAGATTTAAAAAAAAAAAAAGAAACAACCAGAAATCCCTGAATGTACCAACAAGGTAGTCACACAAGAGTTACAAAAGAAGTTGAGTAAAATCTCTGTGTCTTCCAAATTCTTCCTACTATCTATAATTCATCCTGTGACCAGAAACAGATGGGGATTCTAAACTCAGTATTCTCACTGGGAAAACTGAGACAAGTGAGAATGCTTTTAAACTTTCAGCTTCATCACTTGACATGTGCAAAAGACCATGAAGACTCCAAGACTGTAGGTATCGAATAAAAGCTATTCAATTTAACCACTCATACATTTAAACATATTTAAAATCATAATTATGCTACTTAGATATAAAGCAAGATAGAACCTAAGTAGTTCATATAAGTAACCCATAATATTCATAAAGGACACATTTAGAAAAATCACAAATGTTCAAATGGCTGAATGTCACTGTAGAACCTAACTTCATCCATTAAGTTGTCTTTAAGTGATCTAATGGTAGGAACTGTATGGGACAAATATAAGACCAGAGGGTGAACAGGAATGAGTTCTGTTCCCTCTCAGGAAAAAAGGAAAGGGAAGAAGTGAACAGTGCAAAAGTAATTGCAATCCATGGATTCTGCATCCATGGAGTCAGCCAACTGCAGCCTGAAGTATTTGGGAAAAAAATGTGTCTGTATTGAATATGTACAGACTTTTTTCTTGCCATTATTCCCTGAATAATGCAGTATATCAGTAATTTACATTATATTACATATTTTAAATAATTTTTTTCTTTTATTCATATGTGCATACAATGCTTGGGTCATTTCTCCCCCCTTCCCCCACCTCCTCCCTTACCTACCCCACCCCCCCCACCCCCTCGCTACCAGGCAGAAACTATTTTGCCCTTATCTCTAATTTTGTTGAAGAGAGAGTATAAGCAATAATAGGAAGGACCAAGGGTTTTTGCTAGTTGAGATAAGGATAGCTATACAGGGAGTTGACTCCATTGCTTTCCTGTACATGTGTGTTGCCTTCTAATTAATTCTTAGAGATGATTTTAAGTATACAGGAAGATATGTGTAAGTTATATGAAACTCCTGTATTATTTTACATAAGAGATTTGAGGATTGGCAGATTTTGATATCAAAGATGGTACTAAAACATATCCCCCAAGGATACCGAGGGTCAGCTATATAAAGTCCTTCTGAGAATCCCTAGCATATCAGCCAGGGTGTCCAGAAAAACAGAATCAATAAGAGATATGTATGTGTATGAAATATTCATAAGATTTCCTAAATATATATCCTACATACACATATATACCAAGTGTGATTATATGTGTAAGGAGAGAGAGATTGATAGTTAAGGATTGTGGGTGCTAGCAAGTCCAGAATCAGTGAGAAAGGTCATCAAGGTGGAGATCTAGGTAGAGGTAGATGATGTAGTGTTTAGTCTGAAATCTATAAGGTGGGCCAGCAAAGCAGAATTTCTGTGTTGGAGACAGAATTGGTTCTTCTTTGGAAAACCCCAGCTTTTGCTCTAAGGCCTTCAGTTGATTAGATGCGACCAACTCTCATTACTGAGAATAATTTACTCAAAGTCTACTGATATAAAATACCTTTACACCAACATCTAGACTATTTCATCAATAAACTGGGCATTGCAACCTAGCCAACTTGACATATAAAATTAGCACCTTGATTTCACCCCAGAGCAATCCAGGAAACCAGTATCTTTCACAACTCCTAAAATCCTCCTACTAATTCCAGATCACTTTGGGCTTATAAGCAAATACACCTGGAGAGATTAACTTCAGAAGGGAAATTATTAGACATCAAGATACTGTGAGCTTTCCTAAGAGGTAAGAACACACATTAATTTAAAGTTACAGGGAATGTCTCCGTGACATTGAATCTCTAAAATTTTCTTTTGAGGATATACACATGTACAGAGCACCTACTCTCTACTTTCATTGCCATAAACTTTCAGTGGCCCCAGATGAGAAACTGGCTCAGAGGAGTCAGAAACAAGACAAGTACTTGAAAATGCACAGCTAGGTTTGAAGTCAGCTGGTTTTTTTATTCTGAAGTCCATGTCCTGCATCACTCTGCAGTAGTAAGGGATGCAGCCAGGTAACAGCGTGCAGGTGTGAGGCATGGGGGAGGATGCTGAATAGAGAAGAATTAGAACAAACTGGATTCTCCATCTTAGCTAATACCTTCAGTCATTTGAGTTACTTTAAGAATGACTGATGCCTGGGTTTTACCTACAGAGATTCTGATTTAATTTTTCTGGGCTATAGATGGATAAATATAGGAAGTGATAGCAAACTATGTGCATCTCATTCAAGGTTTATTTATTTATAAGACATTGGCTCGACCGTGGTTTTAGATATCATTATTTTTCCTGTCTTCTAATCCTAAAACGAACCCATAGAATTCAAATATGTATGAGAAAACAATCACCTTCATTTCTGACCTATAATTTTTCTCCTAAATCCTTTCCAATTTGGGCTAAGTCTTAATTATTACAACTGGTAGTTTCTGGACAACTAACAGTGAAATCAGATCAGTTGAATCCACATTCTTCCATGATATTCCAGTAATTTCAAAATTAGATGAATAGTTTGCTTGGTAGGAAAGAAAACTGAGGATAGGATGAAGTAAGCGTGCCTTATGATGGTTGTACTTTCATAATTTTGGAATAATTGCATTAGTAACCTATTTCTTGCTGATCTCCACTGACTCTTCATGTTTTCCAAGCAATATAATTGCAAACAAATCCAATGGCTTACAAGAGCATTGTTTCAGGCACTAGAAAGCAAACATACAAGAAACAGTCATCAACTCAGTCTTCCTTTTGCAAAGGCTGACATGTTTTTAGCCTAATCACAAAATGATTTCATTTTGAAGGTTCATTTCTGTTATGACTGGCAAAGCCAAATATCCTCTCCTTTCATGGGCAGTTTCATGTCTTTACCAAACTGAATTTTTAGTGTGGGCACTGGCCCTACATTTTGTATTTTCATTTCAATAAAGCTGTCTATACTTGGAAAATATTGGTGGACTCTGCATAGAAATCAGCCAGTTGGCCCCATCACACAATCTGGCAGTGCTCCTACTGTGTTCTGTAGTGGCTTCACACACTGTCATTAGATTATGTGTCTGGCCACCCTGCATTGCTTACCCTGGTGTGGTCTTTCTCTTTTAAATGGAATGAATAAAATCAG